ACGAGAATGGGGGGGATATCAGAGGGGGCCGTGAGAGAGAGAGAGAGAGAGAGAGAGGGGGGGGGGTTGCGCGTGGTGTAGGTGTGGCCGCTTAACTTATTGGAACACGCCCTCCGGGCACGGCACGGCGAGACACGCGAGTTCTGCCCGCCCGACCCGCGCGCGGCCTCTGCAGGTCCTCATCCCCCGGCCGGCCGAGGCCCTGTGCCCCGGCCGGTCACGTTCCGCCAGGGTCGCGCTGACGAGGCCGGAAGGAAGTGACCGGAGGGAAGGTCTGGGCAGAAGGGCCGAGGCAGCGGGAGGGACAGAAAGAGAGAAATGGTCCCTCTCCCCCCTCCTCGCACTGTTCCTTTTCACCCTTGCAAATCAAATGGGGCCAAAAGACCGAGGACCGAGACCAGCAACGCCTGAGTTGTCGGATCGGTCCGAGTCGTGGTGATTGCTGGACCCAAAGGCTCTGCCTGCTGCCCTTCCCCCCCCCCGGGCCTCCGCATCACTCGCGACGCGGGCTTTGCTGCTCTCCCTCTCTCGCTCATTTTGCCGCGTCGTACATGACGCACTTTTCCAACGCCGACTCCGCGAAGAGCGCTGCTGCTGTGCTGATCCCGTCCGAATCCCTCACCCAAGGCGGGTCTTAACTTTGCCAATGACCCCGCGCCTTGCCAGGCTGGTCTTGCCGACACGCCCCCCGCGGGCCCCGCAGCCACCGCCCGCCCCGCCGGGGCCAGGCGGGTCTCTCAAAAAATATGGGCGTCGGGAGCGCCATTCGCCTATCCTTCGCACTCTTTGGCTGCTGCCCCCCCCCTCCCCCCAGGAGACACTGGAGGCCCTGGAGAGGAACACAGCTCCGGAGCCATGCACGAGACGAAGCCACTCTGCTGAGCTGAGAATATCCCAGAGTCAGCGTCGTCCGAGGGAAGACGAACAAAATAACCGAACCCCTTCAGGAGCGCCCGCCCCTGCCTCCGTCGCGCTACCGCATCGCCGGCATCGCCCCTCATGACGACCACCCGGGGAATCGTCGGCCACCCCCACGGTCGGTGGGGGCGGAGACGGGGCGGAGGCGGGGCGGGGGCGGCACCGACGCACACGTTTTAGTGCACCGGAAATTGGCGGGGCAGCGAAGAACTGCTGCTGGGCTTGGGGGGAGAGAGCGCCTGCTGGGTGTGTTGGTGCCTACATGGGGCGGGGTGGGGCGCGGCCTGCGGCCACCGACCCTTCGTCCGCAGGGGTCGTCGTGGGGGCAAGCCCAACATCCCGGGCCGCGACCTGCCGCCGTGCTCCAAGTAACCTTTCTATCGTGTCGTTAATCCGTGCCTCCATCCCCTGTACCAGGCTGCAGCGGGCTGCTGATCCGCGAGCTCACGGTGCCGGCCTGGGTGCCGCAGCACCAGCCCGCCGTGCTGACCTGCCGGTACGACGCGGAGGGCCAGCCCATCTACTCGGTCAAGTGGTACCGCGCCAAGCAGGAGTTCTACCGCTACCTCAAGGACGAGTCGCCCAACATCCGCACCTTCCCCATGGACGGCGTGCATGTTGACGTGAGTTCACAGCCTCAGGTGCTCGATTGGGCCGTTCGGTCTGAGGTTCAGTCGGTGCCAACCTGTCGCTCTTGTGCTGCAGGTGGCGCACAGCAATGACACCAGCCTGCGGCTCACAGGCGTGACGCTGGCGACGGCCGGCGAGTACACGTGCGAGGTGAGCGTTGACGCGCCCACCTTCCTGACGGCCCAGGCCAACGCCCGCCTCAGCGTCGCAAGTAAGTCGCAAAAATAATAAAAGCGGTCGCCTTTATGGACTTGCAAACGATTCGATTATTTTTCTGTTTTGACAGTCCTGCCCAAAAAGGGACCCCACATCTCCGGCCTGGAGGAGGCGTACGCCCCGGGGCAGACCATCACCGCCAACTGCACGGTGGGCGCCGCGGTCCCAAGAGCCACCTTGCGCTGGTTCCTCAACGGGGCAGAGGTAAGTCTGCCGATGGACGGCAACCCACCTCAACCAGTAAGTCCTTTTTTCACCTTGATCGCCGTGCCCCCCAGGTCGACCACCAGCACGTGCAGACCGCGCCAGGGTCACCGTCAGTGGCGCCGTCACCGACCTGGGCCGTCCTGCGTCTTCCCGTCGCGGCCGCAGTCTTCAACAAGGACAGGAATGCCGAGCTGAGGTGCTCGTCGACGATCGGCGGCCTCCAGTACGAGAGCGCGTCCTTCACGGCCATGCTGCGGGACCTGCGGCCCCCGGGCAACCAGCGGCTCGCCCAGTACAGCGGCGCCGGCCACCCCGCGGCCACCCCCTTCGTCGCCGTCCTGGGGGCTACCCTCGCCCTCGGGCTTCTGCGGTTTCTCGACTAGACGCTCCATTTGCGTGTGCGTCCACGGTTCTACAGACATTCAGTACTTAAATACAAACCCATGTCCCTCCTCCACTCTGGCGGCCCTCGGTGAGAAATTCATACCTAAACTATATCGTTTCGGCTTCGAGTCCACAAGTTGACCTTGGTTCGATGTCGTTTCGCCGACGTATTCGGTCCGAAAGTGAGCTCTCCCCACCACTTCTCTTCTCCACCTGTCCCCGCCCCGCACGTCCCCCTCGCCTAGGCGAAAATTTTCCTCTAGTCTCTGGACTAAAACATGCGGGGACGGGTGTGGAAAGTGGTGCGGAGAGCAATGGACGCAATGTCGATTCATTTGCCATTTCTCACTAACCCAGCTCTGCTCCCACTTGAGTTGGGTAGCTTATTCTGCAGAGAGCATCTGAAAAAGCGTTACAGGTGGCTGAGTGACAAATGAACTAAAGTGCGAGCTCCTGTGACTCATATGGTACTCTACCAGCTACCAGGTTTTAAGTAGTCTTCAAAATTGTACATTAAATGAACATATAATTTCGTACGCTCTGGTAAAGTGCCCCACTTGCATGTGGTCTTAATGGTTGATGTATGTATATATTCGTCAGA